CCCCCCGGTTAAAAAAAAAAAAAAAATTTTTTTTCCCCCCCCCCCCCCCGTCTTGCTTTATTAACGAACTGGTTTGATTTTTAGGGTCAGAAGGTGTATAACGTGCAAAAGGGGCGAGCCGAGCGAATCGAGGGAGTTTTTGCAGCTTTTGCCAACGAATTTCGACCACAGGAACGTATATCTGCAGGGAATATTGCTGTCGTATCTGGACTGAAGGTAAGTCATCTGCAGGAAAGAAAAAACTGCCTACTCGAATTTTTATACATCAATGTGCTAAGCAGCTTCTGATTTCTCGAACTCCCACTGCTTCATGCTAATATTTATATAATTTACGGGGGGAAAAAAAGTTTGCGGGAACTATACCGAAGACCTGATCGCCGCAGAGAAGAGATATGATATAACTGTTGCGGAGTTAACTGCATACCGTTCCGGATTGCGAGGAACGTGCCCCAGATCCCAAAGAACATCTACGGAACGAGATACATAAGCCCGCCATCTGTTCATTACATTAGAAGGAATGGAAATTCTTCCGTCATTCCGTCATTCCGTCATTCTTCCGTCTCGAACACTGCAACGAACGAGATAGGAAGATCCAACGGCACGCCCAGGCCCGTCGGTCGATGTCGTCCCGAGAGGATTCCGTCAATTTCCGTAAGGGAGTAATCGCTCTCGGAAATAAAGGGCCACCGCCCACGGAAATGAAGGCCCATTCCCCATGCTCAATTAAGCTTCCTGTGGTGTCTTTTCCACGTCAGTTTCATTCAGGCCCGATTTGTTTGTCCATACCAGCTGGCTTTTTTTCCTGTTTTTTTTTTTTAATCCTGTTTTTCAGCTTTGGAGTCTTATTTATATTCGCGAGTCTGTCATCATAATTCAAGTTATCCACACCTTTGTTTTTCTGCAAAGCGTATGCACTGTTTTAAAACGTACGAATCTACTTGAGAGAGAGAGAGAGAGAGAGAGAGAGATGCAAAGGGAAGTGATAGTGGTAGCGAAAGGCATGTCCTGAATTCGGGAAGATTCAGGAAATGAAGCATTCGGGCCACATTCCGGAATCCCCACATCGAGTACAGGGCAAAGCATTCCCTGGTGTTCGTGCTGGTCCCGATCCAATCCACGACTGGCGCGTCGCGCTCATCACGACGGGGACGGGCAGCGGCGTAGCGTCGGTGGGGGGGGGGGGGGGGGGGGGGGGGGGAGTGGGGGGGGGGGGGGGGGGGGGGGGGCGGGGGGCACGTGTCCCCCCCCCTACACTTTTCAGAAAAAGAACCAAAAGTAAAAAGGAAAGACGCATGAAATGCCTAAGAACAGTGTCCTAGAGTTCCTGTGCCCCCCACTTTTTCCATCCAGGGTACGCTTATGGGAACGAGCCCCCCAAATGATAGTGCTATCATGTCCACAATAGAGGCTTGATAGCACCATAGACTCGCATACTTCTGTAGAAGTTCTACGGAGGCATTCTTCAGAGTTTCTTCAAGATTGTTTTTAGAAAATAGTTACAACATTCTGATTCTAACATTCTTCCTAAGAAGAATTCTGTATATGCTCTGCAGCTGATAGAATTCTTTCATAGAATAGATAGGATTGCCTGTACAGAGGATTCTGCCAAATTTTCCATAACTTCATTCTTTCTTCTTTTAGAAAACTAGTAGAAGTCCTCGAGAATACCTAAATAGAATTTCTACAGAGGCGTTCTACTGAGCATTTTCACCTACTCGGGGGCTCGAACGCCGAACGCGAGGCTGTGGATGAACGGGAAGGCCGAGACGCACCAGGTCCATGGTGGGACTTGAAGTCTCCTTGGAGTCTTCCCGCTCCGTTTGCATTTTTCTGGACGCCTTGGTTTTATCGCGTGTGGTGGGTCCGTGCGAGTCCGGGTCGGAGAGATAAGCGAAGGGAAATGTTCGGGAAGGGCGAGAACGGAATGATGGAGGCGACCGAAGAATTCAGTGGCGTCTTTGGCTTCTCTCTTCCTTTCAGCCGACGCAGATGCCTATTTCCATCGAACCACCTGTGATCTGGCAGATGGCCTTCTCCCTGTTGATTGAGGCATTGTTGTTCGTCGCGGCCGACGAGATTCACGCTTCCATTTCTTAACCCTCAGTTTCCCCTCGTTAGCCGTGTGCCGCAGAGAGCCGTCGATTTGAACGGATGGACTATAGCAAAAAGCGAAGTGGAGGTGTGATGAGGTGGTTATTTGGGGCTGGTTGAGGTTGATTGAGGTTGGTTGGTTGGTGACGCAAAAATGTTCAGTATAATAATGCAATCAAAACGACACGTCTAAGACGAAGATGAAAACGTAATTTGATGATGAAATGGTCCATTCGATCGGTGACGAGAATATGCATCGCATGCCAGGAAACGACGACAGGGGACATCCTATGCAAGTCTTCCTCATCGCACGGGCGCGCCTTGGAAGCAGCCTCGAAGCGCGGGAAGCAGCTGGTGGCCGAGATGGCCGTCCCCACGCCGGTCTTCTTCTGCTCCATCGAGCCGCCGTCCCTGCACGCCCAGGCCGGGCTGGAGCACGCACTCGCCTGCCTGGCCAAGGAGGATCCGAGTCTCAGGGTGGCTTTCGACGCCGACACCGGGCAGACCGTCCTTGCCGGTTCTCGCGTTTCTTCCGTCTTCTGGTCGCACTGCTCGGTTTTGGGACTGAGAGTTACGTGTGGTCTCGGCAGGCATGGGGGAGTTGCACCTGGAGATCGTTCGGGATCGGATTTCGAAGGAGTATAAGATCGATGCGGAATTGGGACCACTTCAAGTTGCCTACAGAGAAACCATCACGAACAAAGTCTCCGATACCCTCGAGTTCCAGCGAAGAGTCGGTGGGGATTCAAGCACCTGCACGTCGCTTCGATTCGGGCGAGAAGAGTTATAATTGCAAACGTATCGCATTGCTTGATTGCAGGAGAGAGCCATCATTACGTGAAGCTGTCGATGACGGCGTTGCCCGAAAAGAGCGGCAAGGTTTTGGAGTTGCAGCACACGAAGGAAAACGCCGAGAACTTGGGGGCGATTCGGCCATATCAAATGTCCGCAGTCGAAAGGGGACTTCACAATACTCTGGCCTGCGGTCCCCTGCTTCACTGTCCCGTACGTCCGCATCCTGGCTCTATTGATAAGAGTAAATAAAAATATTAAATTATTTTCGTAAAAATCATTGAAACTTATTCAAATTAAAGTAGCAGTGTTATTTAAATGATAAAGCAAATCACTATTGTAGCAGAGGAAAATTTTTAGGCATTAAATATTTAAACCATTACTATTCCGATCAGGTCGTAAATGCGAGCTTCCGATTATGGTGGCTAGAAACGAGGCCAGGGACCTCCGAGGTGATGATCCAGGCCGCTACCTCCCAGCTCGCCCATCAGGTCAGTGTCTTCCCCTCTCTCCCCCCCCCCCGACCGCATTCGCGACGGGCGACGCTGAGGGTCCGTGCGTTCAGTTGTTGTCAGGTGGGCAGCCGAGGTTGCTGGAGCCGGTGATGTCCCTGGAAATATCGGTGCACGAGGACCATTTCTCCGTTGTCTTGGGGGACCTCGCGCGGCGTCGCGCTCAAATCCTTTCCATTCAACAGCGACTCGACATCAAGGTCTCTTGCATTCTAATCGCATATTTTATCTTTCAAGGTGCATGATTACAGCAACGAATGACTGCGTCGTGCCGAATAGGTGATCGAATGCCTGACGCCGCTGTCGGAGCTGAAGGGATATTCGACGGCGTTGAGGACTTTGAGCTCCGGAATGGCCAGCGTCTCCATGGAACTCCTTGATTATCTACCGATGGACTCCATGGAACAGAGCCGAGCCATTCAGAGCATGACAGGGATCTCAACCTCGTTTTCCTCGCCAAAATGTGCTTAAGGATTCTCATTTCCCCATGGAAGACATAGTAAAGAGAGGCATTATTATGAGTTTTCTCTCCTTCACCATGGATTGAGTAGAAAAGCGGAGTCTCCATCCCGGCTGGGTCCATTCTAACCGAGTCTCCATTCTGACTGAGTCAATAGACTCATTCTAGCACGAAGGCGTCTCGTCCGGGAGAGCATTTCGAGCTAGCATTCTGTCAAAGGCTTTTCTTTTCCCGTCTCACATCATCCACTCTTCCGATAGATGCGTGGGCGCCTTCCTTGGCGAGGCAAGTCGCCTTCGTGGTCGATGTGTACGTCATGCGGGCTGTTTTTTTTTGCAATTCTTTCAGGGACAATAGCCTCTTTTTGCAATTTTTTACATTGCAATTTTGTTTTCTGGATCAGGACGAGCACGGCTCGTTCGAGGAATGCCCCTTTCTCGGACTGTCAGTCGTTTTAAAAGTTTGTTCTCGTTCGGGATGCATTTCTGAAGGCATGAGATAATCCATGAGATAATCATCCGTGAATGGGTTTCGCTTCTGTTGCAAGCGAGTTAGAAACAAAATCGATTTCTGGAAAAGTCAGTCCAAGCCGCAGTCTAACAGACCAGGAGTTCATGAAAGCATATATCAATACTTCAAATTCATTATTTTAATGTCTCGTTGATGGTACATCAGGGGAACGTGGACGTTCTAGAAAACAGAAAAATGCCTGAGGGAGTTCAGCTTGATCCCGTTTTCTCAAAGCTGAAAGTTTTGCTGAAACCCCGAGATACAAAACTGAGTAGGAATCGTTTGGGACGACGCTCTAATCAGTAAGGAAACTAAGTTCTGACGAAGAATTTCCTTTAATTATCTACTGATCTCTTTATATGATCATATGCATGATTATAAATGATGTATACGATTGTAAACGCAAGATTTCTCGAATACAACCCTCAGTCTTCTTCATACAACAGGAGTCCGCATCGCTTCTGTATACCTGAAACCATACAGATCATGTCTGAAGCCAAGAATTGAAAGAAAATCTTGCCCTCGTTTGCCGCCATTATACAAGCATAGAAAAGCATGTGCATGGCATGCTCATGAGGCATACTTGAACAGAACCAAGAGGATGCGAGGAATAGGGAATGTGATGAATCCACTGAGGAGTCCCTTGAGAAAATCCTCAAGATGCAGCTCGAAATGCCCCGTCTCCAGTTCATCTACCGGTATATTTTACCATTGTGACACTCGCGTCGCTCGTGTCGACGCGAAAGAAAAAAAAAATGGCGTTGGAAACCTGAATCGCCGGACGGAAAGCCGCAGACGCAGACGGAGACGGCCAATGCGAGCAAGACGCTGAGGTAGAAGCAACAGGCCCGTTGAACTCGAGTGCTCCTCTCACCCCCGTCCCTGTCACTCCCAGACGTGAGTGCCCGAGACGAAACCCCAAGAGAAAAGAAATAGCTCAACCGACTTGAAGAAGACGGAGAAGAGAAGAAGCAGGTCCCGAGTGGCCACCGCCTCGGAATGCTTCTTAAGGGCCTCGCGAGTGTATAAGGCAGAGAAGGGGGAGGCCGTCACCCGGAGTTCCTGGCTCTGCTCGCTCAACGAGACGGTGTCTTGCACGAGGAACAGCCAGGACTCCCGAGTCTGGACGTCTCGGATCCAGATCTTCTCGCAATACCTGAGGGAGAACTCGGTATGGGCGCGTGGCCGTGGAGTCCGACTTCATCCGGAGTCGTTTACCATTCCGGCGAGAACCCGGCCGAATCAGTGGTGAGAAGCACGCTCCGAACGGGAGACAGGGACGCCGCCGCAAAGAGAAGCACGTGCCTCACGTCCCCCGCGTCCAACGGGGACGGCAAGAGGTGCGGCCCGGACGTCCTCGATCCCTTCCCGCCTTCTAAGTGCACGGCGACGTGAGCGGAAGTCCCCGAACCGGGTAACCAACCCGTTTCCACGGCGATCAAGTAGGCATACCCATGCCCGGGTGGCGAGTCCGACAGGACATGCACTCTCATCTACGGTAACGATGGGGACATTAACAGGAAATGGCTCCGACGTTCCTAAAAGAAGCTTCGTTGCTCCCAGTACGACAATCCACTTCTAATGGATTTTGGCACGCACACGGCTCATATTCATGTCGTGCATGCGTTCCTGTTTCTTCTCATTCTCCCCCTATTGTTCTCTGCACGAAAGATATTCCAACTGGAAAAATTCACGCATTACTCATTGCCAGTTGTTGCAATGCGACGATCGAGGGAAAAATCAGGTCTTTAAATCTCCCCGATCCCGCAGAGCCATCTAGTGTCAATGTACGAAGCATCAGCTCTACGAACCATTCTCAACTTCTGTTTTTTTCCCAGGATTTGTTCAACCTTGACTTCCGGCAATAAACCACCGGAAATTCAAGGTTGAACCAGAACCTAGTGAAAACCGCGACGAAGCCTCGCCCCTCCGACCAATCCCCCCAAACAACCACAGCCAAGACGACACCAGACGACACCATTCGCTACCAGACGACACCAGGCACCCAACAGACCTTTTCCTCGTCCCTCCGATCCTGCCACCAGGCGCAACCGACCAGCACCGCAGCGGCACCGGAGACGATCCAGAGGACGAGAGGTATCGCATAGTGAAAGAGCAACGCTCCCTCCTCAGTGCTATTACCGTGATAATCCATCGCGTCCTGCGAATGAGGAATCATCACAGCGCCGAATACGTTAAAAAAAAAAGCTTCTTCTCTTTAGATTCCTCGTTTCCACGGAGACACCGCGTTAAAACAAACAAATAATCAACAATCAATCGAATTAACCTTATGTTTAATGGCTCTACAACCACAATTCACCCCCTCATCGAGCACCAACAAGCATGCACCAAAAGCGATGGACCCACCCATGCAAATGATGATCGACATGGTGCAACGTCCCCTCGGATCTCACGAACCAAGCGACTGACGATCTCTCGCCTCCCCATGGTCTTGAACGTCAAGAAGGCAGCTCACTACGACGGGAGATCGCAATCGGGAGTCGGCATGGCGGGAAAGTCCAACCAAGCCGCTGCTGCTCTTCGACCTTCTTCGCAGTACGGCGCAAGACGCGAAGGAATACTCACGGACACGCTGGTTACCTTATCAGGAGTTTCGGCTCTCGTTCGCGCTGAAGGACCCGCAAACCAACTGCAGGCAGATGAGGTAGTCCGACGTACTGTTCATGGGTGGACATTCGGCCAGTTGTAAGTACTGACTCCTCCATCCGTGATCGCCAGATGATCCATCCATCCGTGATCGCCAGATGATCCATCCATCCATTGCCATCCGCAAACGTAAATGCCACCGACTCAGCCAACCGCGAAATTCGATGCATACGTGGGCAGCGGCTTGCAACCGGTCCGGAAGCGTCCCCGTTTCATCTCTATGTGTCGTTAAAACGCACGCACAGAATCGAGAAAAATAAGAGTTCGATGACATCTAAATTCGATCATTTATTCGATTCAATCTCGACAATAGGCAGGCAAGACAAATTAATTTTCAAATTCCTCCCAAAATGCGACTGCAGCGTTCGGTCGGCATTCGTGTCACCAGTCGTCGACATAAACGAATCGCACTGAGAACCTCTTCGACCGTCCGAATGAAAACCCGCAGAACCTGTAGAAAGGCGAGTCACGTCCACGTGCTAGAAAGCGTCGGCGTGGAATCCACCGGCTCCTCGATCCGGAATTGGAGGACGACCAGGTAGGTCATTACCTACCCTACGCCTACGAGACAAATTACCATAAAATGTTGACTTTATCACATCCATAAAAGTGAAACGGTATTAAATTAAGTTGAACGAATAAGAAACTAATTTTAAAAAATAGAAAAAAAAACACGCTTTCCTTAATAAATCTCAAGTTTTAAAAGGAGTCCTTCCATGGGTGAGGACTACTTGAAACCGTTGAGGACTTCCTTACCGCGATGAGGATTCCCTCGTGGAGTAAAGTAATCAGAAACGCTGAGCTGGATGGAGTTCGCTTGCACCTGGATCTCGATCCGGTGCACCTGGTACACAAACATGGTTGCCAGAAATAAAAATCAGGGACGACGGCTTGGCAACACTGCACGGATCTGATGGGCGAGAGCGGGGGGGGGGGGAAGTCGATCCCGGAGACCAGAGAAATTTCCTTCGTCACTTTCTCGTTTTGCATCCCGAGGAACAGTAAGTCAAACTGCATCAAACATCAAACTTTAGGCGAGAACCACTTTAGGGACTAATAATCTTGCAGCCAATGGAGGCCCAGTATCTCAATTTTCTATTTTTTATTTTGGAGAAAGTCTTTCGGAATGTAACTGAAGGAAAACCCCTCACGGAAGTAAGCCAGAAGGAAGCGAATATTTGGAGTTCGTATTTGACAATCATTATGTTGATTTTTGACACAGGCAGCAATCGGCCCGTAGACTCCATAAACTGTGCCTCGTTCCGTGATGGAATTTCCTTTCCCATACCTTCCGTCTGAAAGGAAAGGAGATAGATATGGAGAAGATATAGGCTAAGTTCGTATTTGGCAAAATTCATCCCAAAAAGAGCTGCATTTTTAATCGAGAAGTTTGTATTTGAGGGTTCTTCGCAGCGGGAATGACGCGAACAACCGTCAGCATTCTTGGATCTCGACCTCAAGGCGCATGGGCAGTGCATTTTCTGCGTTTGAATTTCGCGTCACTGAACACATACCAGTTCCCTTCCAGCCTTCGTAGCGGAAGGAGACAGTGCATGCCAGCAGTGGCGTAACTAGGGGGGGGGGGGGGCAAGTCACAGTCCAGAGGGCGGCAAAATAGCCTTTCAAAGAAGGAAAATTTCCGAAATTTTTTTCAGTTTGCCCATTTTGCCGCCCACTGGCAAAATGCCCATTTTGACGACTTTGCGATTTTTTCCCGTTTGCCACCCTCTGAACTGAGGGCGGCAAACGTCATCTTTCAGCAAAATGAAGCTGATTAAGTCGTACCTGCGATCTGCAATGTCTCAAGAAAGACTTACTGACCAGTGCAAAAACCGCCTTTTCTTCAAGAAATGTAGACTCAATCTGCTCCAACAGTCGGTCCA